TAATGTGCAACGCGCCTAAAAAGAGCAATAATAGTAACCTTCCGAATCTCTCCGTAATTAACTATTTTCTATCTTGTAACTATTATCATTGGTCAAACTTTCTGGATGTGCAGGGGACCCAACGATCCCCCCCCCCCCCCCCCCCCCCCCTAAAGAAAATAGTGCCCATGTATTCCTATTGCTGCGGGTTTACCACGACGTCTTGCCATCTAGAACTGGTCATTTTTATTGACTAAAAGCCCAACAAACGATATGCCATCCAAAACAAGCTTCCTACAAAAAGCATTTGAGTGGCCCCTTTGAGTAATCGTTGTACATTTTGGACAGAATTAAAAAGAACCACTCACTCCTGGAGGATTTTGCTGTCTGTGGTCTGGGGATAGCCAAAGTCCATCAGTTCGTCTAGCAGCTCGTAGATGATGACGAAATTGTCGCGGATGCTTTCTTCTTCAAGTTCCTTGAAGTACTCGCTGAACACCTGGCGACAAGAAGTGCGGCGGTGAGAGCAGTGCCGACACCGGGTTCGCTTCGCTGGGTGCGAGGCTCACTTACAGTCACTATCTTGTGTAGGAATGCAAAGATCAGGGCCACATTGGCATTCTTCTTTGATGTGGACACCACTGACGAAGGGTATAGGAAATCTGGGGAGGGCACTGCACATGGGAGCACTTCTAGTTTGGCAATGTTGATTACAGCAACCATTTATGCGACGTCTTGGAGGCTATGCAAGACGGCGAGACGGGATGGAGGGACCCGGACGTCGCCGCCTGGTGCGACGTCCCGGTCCCTTCGTCCCGCCATCTTGCATAGCCCCCTTGGATTGTTTCAGCTAAGAAGCTACCTTAACATCTTGAGAGACAGCCCACCTAAAATCGAAAGCAAATCGGGTGGAAAAAAGGAGTGGGCTGACTTTCGATGTGCAATCAAAATAAGTTGAAGAAATGCTAGTTTTAGGCTTTGTGACCTGCGAAATTTGTAATCGCAGGGAGGGGCAATGAAGATGGATGTCGTTCCCAGTCAGCAATGTTTGCTCGTCCCCCGTCGTGGCTAACTAACACCATTTCTGCTGAGGTCACCAACGGCCAAGGTGCTGCAATTACTAGAAGTGGGCTACCTTTCGGTGTATGTGGAAAAATAAGAAATCGTGCCAAAAATAGAGTTGGGTTATCTTTCGGGGGTGGGGCATCTCTGGGGATATTATGGCACCACGCGTTACATCTTTTCGTTTCGTAAAAATCGAGCCCTGCATACGCCACCGAGGTAAAGAACACTTAACAGCAAGGAGGAAAATGGCCACATTGGTTAAACATAAAACATAATAAATATACTATAGTGCTCAACCCAATAGATGTGAATATGTGAAGTTTATGACAGCAATGCAGGCGTAAATGCGGGTCTCACTGGGCATTTATGCTCCATGTTCATCAGAGTGGTATGCTAAACCAAAGTTTTAGGGCGCACCAAAATGTCCGCTCTAAAACTGTTTTCAGGCATGTAAGAAACGCAGGTGTCAGTTGTGTTGTGGAATAATAAGTGATACAAGGCCATTAAAACTGTCTGCAACTGCAGCATTCCAATGGGCTCGGTTACTCTACCCGACAAGAGCTACGCTAAGCCTCTTAATCCTTGTTTTAGTGCTCAAAATGAATACTGCAACAGCACGTCACGAGGGCGTAAACTGTCGGGAAGTCCCATGCCTGCTGTATGTTTTCTTTGTCTCTTACACGATTCCTGCGGCAAAAAAGTAGCACCTGCCCGGGTTGCAACTAAATGGGTCAATGTTCTGAGCGCTCCTCGGCAAGAGTTGAAAGCACTGTTTCCTCAACCCGTCTGCCACAGCCACTGCATTTCTGACACGAGGCACCGTTTCCGACAGTTTCTCTGGACACTTTACCGGCTGCGAGTCGTTTCGCGCTCGGCTACAGTCGCTGACAGAATCAGGACGGCAGGGAGATGTTCCTCAGCTGTCCCACCCCCAGCGCAAGCGTGCATGCACAACCAGAGCACAGTGGAAGGCAACAAACACATACAGGAGGCCAATCATCTGAAAGAGACACCCTGCCGTTCCCATCTCAGCGGTGACCGGCACTTCGTGCTCCGATAGATTTCCCCAGTGCTAAGGAACTGCAAAAGGATACGGTAAAGGTTGTTGTGCTTGATGTACATGAAGGCGATGTCCGCGTGACGCATTATGGGTGTCACGCAGCCTTCTTCCTCCTTCTCCATGAGCAACGTCATGAACTTGTCGATGGACGACATGTCGATGTCGCCCCGGTAGTTCCGCGATATTAGCACCTGCAAAGCAGGCAGACCTTACCGAGATGCCCACTCTCCTCAACTGGAACGAAGAACTGCAACGTGAAACATTGGCGGCAGCTGCGCCTATGCAGACGACGGCCGGATACTGATATATCATGCAAAAGACAGTCTGCAGGCACTGACCAAGGCGCATTTCTTTCTCGTGTGGCGGTGCTGTCGCATGGGTTATACATGAAACTGACTGCAGGCATGTTCGAAGCGTGCATACTATGTATAAAACAAACATATTTCGAACATGCTTGAGGAGCATCCGCAAAAAATTTTGTCATCATGTCTGCGGCGAACATGGTGTCTTTTGTATGATGGAAGAGTAGTTGTTGCTGCAGCTAGGGTTCCGTGTTTTCGGAGCTTATTTTTCTTTGAATTTGGGGAGGAAAAAGGAAAAAGGGGGGGGGGGCGGGGCACTTTCAAATGTGTAATTGCAGCCGTACATGTATGGTGACTACCGTCAAAGGGTTAACAAAGGGGTTTTATAGGTATTTTCTAGAGATGGGCCAATAGCGGTTGGAATTGAATAGCACTGCGTCATTGATAGTCCTCATAGTGCTGGAGAAACCGACATAAGGGCTCTCTCTGCAATGTTGAAGCTAAGGATGATGCTAGCCATTTCGATTCACACTGCCAGTCGCCCACCCCTAGTCTTTTCCATAAACAAAGAACCCTAGTTACAGCCGATGCAACTTCCCACATTTTAGGTGGATTCAGACCCCGAAAAGTTCCACTCCCCGACCTTGGCAATGCCAAAATGGAATAATTCAGTTTCGTGCGAAACCGTTTTTGGCGACCGCTGCTAGGGCAACATTCGTCGGTTGCCACTCTCCAGCACCACTTGTCTTTAAATCGGCCGTTGACGTCCCTTCGTCGTCGTGCTGGCAATTCTAACGAATGATAGAAATCTCTACAGGTGGCATTTACCGGCCGTCGTAACTAGTGGACGCACAGAGCAAACGGCCATTTGGAGTCATTCAAGAAAAACTGTTTTGATGGTGTGAAATGCATTGCAGCAGCATCACCTCACAATAAACGTCGGCAGATGCCACGAGACATCTCGGCTTATGCAGAGCCGTATCGCATTGTTAAGTGCGTCGCTGGGCCCGTCCGGAAAATTGCCCAACACTCATACGGCGCTACATTGGCTCCGATGGATTGCAGCGTTCACTGCAGTTCGTCGTAAGCTGGAATGGAGTATTGCACGTGCTCATACGGAGCACAAACAGCTACACTGGCTAGCGAATACATCCACCCATACAAAATGGGTTTGCCATTCCTTCAAAACGAATAGCACATGAAAACCTGTGCAATGATTTATGCACCATCCAAATATGGCAGCAAAGAAACCATTGCATTGGTTGGGAGGAGGGGGGGATTATGATAAGGTTTTAAAGCAGACTTCCTCGAAGGTTACAACCCCCATGCTTTCATCATTCAGGCGGTGGCAATCGGCTATGTTTGAGGGCTTGCGCAATTTCTCGATTGGCAAATCAGAGTTGCTGGACGGCCATTCGAGGCAGTTAATTGATCTGCATCTAGGTCAAGGTTCTGCTCAAATTTGGCTGTTCCAGCGATACAATTGGTACAGGTCGGCCGCGAGTGCAAAAGTTATTTCGCGGCGGTCGCCAACGTCGTAAAACACTTACGAAGCGAACACTGCACACCACCAAGAAGAAAAAAAAAAAAAAAAAAGAAGAGAAGACGATCTTTGCCATACTTTATCGCTTCGTGTATTGACGCCAGGTTGCGAAGAAAAACAACGCCTCCGGTCACGTTAACGAAAATCGTCGTGTCATACCTTGCCCTTCAGGTCCAGTATGTAGATTGCTGAAGCAGACATGGTGCTGTGAATGCTGCAAATACAAGAAAAATATGTCGCGTTTGTCACACTCAGACACCTCGGGCAGAAGTTGACTGCCGGCGCCGGCGTTTGCGTGCATGTTTCGAGCCGGGAAATAGCCTGAGCGTATGTGTGTTTCTAGCCTATGGAATCAATTGATGCAGTATGATAATTAATGTCGTAGTCGCACCAAGAAATTCTGATAGAGCTGACAGGTGTGTAGCAAGCCGTGCCGAGACAGCAGTGGTTGATAGCTGCCGATGGTCATCGGTCACTTACCGTTACGCGTCCCGGCGAAATCGACTCGTGGAAATTATAGTAAAAGTGACGCAGGTCCCGGCGCCACTTTGGGTGTTACCTGCGATACCACGGGGACAGCCGATTTATCTTATTTTTTCTCCATTCCAAGGCGAAGGTGTACAGCAGGCCAGTGCAAATGACACTGTAGCCCTGCCCAAATATTAAAAATAAAAAAAATTTGGGTACTCGCCACCTGGCGAGAACCGTTCAAAACTCTCACAACCAGAAAAATGATAATCTTATTTTTGCCGAATTATCGTTGAAATCGTAAACATAAAAATGATCTAACTGAACTTATTATATTGCTTTATAATTTGTATTTATTGTTACCTTGATGGCACAAGGTTTTGTTTTGTTTAGTCAAAGTTGACAGAATCATTGGTACGTCTTTAAACATTGAGAGTAATGCGTTCGATTATGTGTTTTTGCGACGCCAGTGTAAAAAAAAGCATGACGTAATTTTTTTTAATCTTAGTTGTGTAACGTTCGACTCTAGAGTCTGTGACTCGAAATAGTCGAACACGCTCGAAAACAAATAAGAAAAAAACGTGAAACGGATCAGGTTTGCGGCAGAAAAAGGCGGAAAAGATATCAGCGTGTGACAAAAATTAACAAATAGCGCTAAATTGCGCACACGTAGCGGCGCCGCAAAGATTCGAAAGTTATCTGCCAACACCTGAAAAAAAATATTTCACGCGACGGCAGTGGACAAAGTGAAATGATCGCTGAAAAGTAAAAAAACAAAAATAAACAAGGCTAGTACTCCGCATCTTGTATCTGGGTGCGGGATGGGTGTGGGTGTTCTCTAGTTTATACAAATGACTGAAGCGCATAGAAATGTAAGAATGCCTTCGTGACTGTTCGAGGTGTGCCGTGTCTTCCCAAAGTTTCGCTAGTCGACGCCAAAGCTGTGCAATAAAACCCAAAGTCCACCTCGATTTGATGTATCGGATCATCGGCATGGCCAAGTTTGGACGAGTGCCTCTGTCGTAATAAGTGGTTAGTTTCTTAATTCCTCCGCTTTCGTTACTAATAAAAAAAAAAAAACGCACCTGCCGTGAGCGCCTAACACCTGCTTCGACGATTACGCATTGTGCTGCTCGCATTCAAGCTAGCTCGCCCCTTCGGTATCTGCTGCCGCTGATGTGAAGGGTCCGTTCAGCCAGCGCTGGTTCAGCACGCATAAGAACGAAGGATTTTTTTCCCGGTAACATCGGTACGTTGGCTCAAGCCTGACTAATATGCCCCGGATTGAGAAGTCCTTGTAATATATGAATAACAATAATAATAACAGGAACTACGATAGCAGGGGTAGACACATCGTGCTATTGCTGATACGTGAGCCATGGTCCTGTTACCAGCGCAACTGTCATGCAGTCGTTCTTTCTGAGGGTCCTACAAGCAGAATTCTATTTAAAAACGGCTTCATTTAACTGGTTGGTATCCACCACGCCCGAATAACCTATCCTATATATGTTTTAAGCGTTCAGGTATCGCTAAAGCTTGCCTGAAAGAAGTTTGAGATTAGATCTGAGTTCTGTCTTTTTGTGCTTCGTTTTTTTGCCCGAATCGTTCGCGAGCGTGTATTTCGTTCTGCCTTTGCAGGTGCCATGGATCAGTTTGCTAAGGTGCTTGGCGAGGGTACTCAGCGGAATCGGCATGCGAAAAGTTCGAGCACTTCCAGCATCTTTGCGTCCAGTGTGAGTGGAATTTTCAGTTACCTCTCTTCCACCGCGAGGGGAAACAAGCACAAATGAACGAAATACCACATTTCGCCGTGCCGGACCAACAGATCGATCAAAGTCCGTGTGTGGATAGTCTGCGCGCTACATACCCACGTAAAACGGCATCGCGCTAGGATGACGGTTGGGCCCGAACCGGACCCCGAGTGTCCTACCCATCGATTGGACACCATGTCCGGCCGAACGTAGACGTAAACACTCGTCTCCAATCTGCGTGTCTGCGCGCAATCTCGCTGAGAATGCGAGACGCTGGCCGGATCTGGCAATGCAGTTGCAAAATGACACCAACACAGCGTGCAAACACCAGTAGTCGCGATGGCAGCTCGCTGTTTTGAGTGCAAATGTGATCGGCACCGCCCTCAATCGCTTGTCTTGGCATTGATTGGCTGTTGCTGGCCGAAAAGTGCGCCGTCATTTGGGGCGTAGCCGTCGCAGCGTCCCCATGATATGTCGTATGGGTACGGACGTCAGCGCGGGACCATCTGTTCGTGATTCATAGCTTTATGGGGAGCCTAAGTTCGTCTGCTTCTTGTGCAAGGGTTGCGGTGACGTCACAGCAAAGAGCTCTGATTGGCTTGATTGGAAGGGTAGTGGGTAGACCTCAGTGCTGCCTTGAGGTCTGCCCACTATCCATCCAATAGAGCCAATCAGAGCTCGGCGTTGTTCTGACGTCACCGCAACCCCGGCGCAAGAAGCAGACGAACTTGTGCTAGGCATTAAAAAATAACCGCAAAATCAAAAAAAAAAAAAAAAAAAGGTTAGCGAGTAATTCACACACTGGGCGAAATACAATACTTATATTTGTAGAAAAAAAAAGAAGAACGAAAATAAAAGGCAAGCTTAATGTCTAAATCAACGTTTAAAAAAAAAAAAAAAACTAATTTTTTTTTTTAGGACACTCTCTCTCGCTCTCTCTCTCTCTCTCTCTCTCTCTCTATATATTTTTTTTTTTTTCATTCGCCTAAGACATTACATTTTTTTTGTGCTTCCGCAAACCAGATTTTAATGGGGTACCTATCATTTTTCTCTAATCTTGCTCAAGTGACGTTAACGCCGCCATATCTTGTTGGACAACGGTGTAGCTACCGCCGGTGCTGCGAAGTCACCACACGTGATTGGATCATTTGTAACCGAACGATTAAGTTACACGTTGATTTTGTTGTCATTTCATTATACATTTGTCACGTGGTATTTAAACAAACTATGTTATTTCCGCAAAGATCGATCGATACCTCGATCTAGGCGCGCGCGTTCCAAGGTTCGCAATTGCAGCGCCAATGCGATTTTTAATACGGGATGATATTTTTACTCGGTTTAGAAAACCGGGCAACGATCACCGGCAACTTTATGCTTGCGACGCGCGAATATTTCTCGGCGAAGGCACGGTGTGTGCAGGTCAATACACAAAACCAAACGACCGCTCGCGTCGCATTCTCATGTTTAAACTACGACCGGCAAGCCGGTCGTTTTTTGAACAAATCTAAAATATTACCCTGGATCAAAAAACTTGTTTTTTTTTTTTTTCTCAAGTTACAGCATTTCGTGTGTGAAATAAAAATTGTGACTGTATCTTGGTGGCGTTGCAAACGCGAGATGCTCTGGAGATGCTTAGGCTTTTGCGTCGTGGCGGAGAAACGCTATTCCGAAACTCTCTTGCGTAGAATGCGTGACGCAAGCGCTAAATTTAGCGCTAGCGTGCGCTAACATTGCGTACGTACGTTATTCTAAAGCACTCCCTAATACCTGGCATGGTGCGTTGGCTGCCTTTCCCGCCAACGCCGGCCGTCACCAAGGAACGTATATTTTTTATCAAACCACTCGTTGGTCATGCATCATGGTGGTCCCAAAGGGAGCAAAATAACGCTTCGGTAGTTTGGTAGACCACTTTCGTGCACCGGCTCCGCTCTACGGAGAGCGCAGTCGTAACTGCGCATGCGCGCCGGCCTTGCCTTGCCTGCTATCTCGAAGCGGTTTGCGGGGAGCGTTGCGGGACAGGGGTAGTGATCTACGAGAACTCCCTGTGATCGCTCATAGCTTTCAAGATGGCTGCTTTGTATGGTTTCCGTCCGCTCTGCGTAAAGTGTACGTATCGCGGGAGAAATGGGTTGGGGATTCACTTCGGCCAGGTGTTATACAATGCTTCGAAAGAAAATACATAAACATACGAATTACATTATTTACACAAATAGGCAATTTTACACTTGTTTTTGGTTCCTCATTGTTTGCGAGTAGGTTGAGAAATGGTTAATCGACTACGCCACCGAACTGACTATCGAACAGTTATAAAATAAAATCATCCCCGCTTTGGTAGTCTTGTCCTGCTGCGTTTTAGGTCATTTTGCCGCATTCGTGACTTGCATTCGTGAAAGATCGAGCGCGAAGCTCACCGCCCTGCACAACTACGAAGATGGTTTCTCCTTTTTTTGTGGCTTCTTGTCTAATACTGTTTTTTTCGACGTGTTCGCCATCACATTTATAGCAAAGAACGTGCAATGAAACGGACAAACAAAAAGCGCATTTGACGCATAAAAAAAAAAAAAAAAAGAAGAAGAAATGTTGGAAGTTCTTAAACAATGGGGTATTTTTATCCTTTCTGATAGTACTGTATATAGTCACTGAGAAAACGAGAACGGCGGGGCGAATCTTCGTACGCCTGGCCTCCGGCACGCGCTTCAAGCCTTCCACCGTGCTTGTCGACGAAGCGCTGTCGAAGGTAGCTCGGGCTAGAGGCGTGGCGATTAGGGATGTCGCGAACCACCCTAGGTTCGATTTCGAAAGGTTTCGATATTTGCGAAGCGAACTGAGGTTCGATTTCGAAAAATTTCGATATTTTCGTACCGACCGAGGTTCGATTTCGAAAAATTCGCAACTTTTGTCCACAGCGGAGTTTCGAATTCGAAAATTTCGAAGCTTTCACGGTTTCTGAAATTTCGAATTCGAATATTTCGAATATTTTTTTACTTCAGGTTCGATAAATTCGAAGATTTCGAAATTCTTTGTAAAAAAAATTCGAAAACTTCGAACGCTTCGAATTTTTATAGACATGAGGTTCGAACAAATCGAAGATTTCGAATTTCTTTTGGCATAAAGTTCGAAAAGTTCGAAAGTTTCGATTCTCTTTTAACGCTAAATTAAAAAAACAAAACAAAAAAACTTTGAAGATTTTGAATTTTTTTCTGATCCAAGTTTTCAAAGTTTGAAGTCCGATTTTCAAGTTTTTCTACAGTTTCAGTTTCAAATAACGTTTTCACGACTCACTTGTTTTCACAAAATCAAGTTTAGAAAAGTTAGGGTGTGATATCTAGATTCTGCGAAGTTCGTAAGCCAATTAAATGAGACGACGAGTGTCCCGGACGTGCTAGAATATTTGCCAGTGCAGAATTGTGACCGCCAGCCCCCCGGGGGGGGGGGGGATCTTTATCACGCAGTAGTGATTGTGGGCTGACAGGCGCTCCGCGTAAGGGTTCTCACCTATCTGTTCAGCCCAGCACACCACCACCTGCGCCCTTGGAAGTGCAAATAAAATTATTATTACACTGTTTTACGAGACTCATCCAGTTCGAAACGGCCAGGGGCGAGCAGGAGGTTGAGGCTCAGAGAAACCTTGAAGCGACCTGGCAAACTAGCTCGCCACCCCTTGCACGCTGGTAGTAATCCGATCCGGTGAAGTTTATAATTGTATTGGAGGTTTATTTTCTGGGACGGAGGAATCGCCTCGCAAAAAGCACAAAAGCCGACACAACTCAAGGTCGAGGAGCGTTCTACCATACAAGTGGCGTCGGAAGAGGAAAAACGGGGGGAAAGAGGGTAGCGGGGGGGGGGGGGGGGGGGGGGGGGGGGGGGGGGCTTCAGCCTCCTTTTTCCCCTTGCAGGTATTTCGGACTGTTAAAGAAAACAATACGGGGAAAGAGGGCGTGGTCGAGCTTATTTTAATCTGAAATTATTTATGCATATGTATAGCTACTGTCGCTCTTCACTGCATAAAAGGTTGCGTAGATGGTCATTGTTAGAAACTCGTTGTCAGAAGGCACTGCTCGTCACATGCTTAGTGGTTCGGAAGTTCAAAGCTGTCTTTTCGACCTAAACACCTGTGCCGATAGTAACAAAAGAAAAAAAAAAAAAGAATAAATGCGGGAATAAAAAGCAGGAGAAAAAAAAAAAAAAAACTATCAAGAATTCGTCGGAAGTGTTCTATTCTTGCATATTCAGAGGTTCAGAACTTCGAAACAAGTTTCTTTTACCAAAATGTGTACAGGCTAAAAGAAACACGTCCCAGGAACGTGAAGCGAAAAAAAAAAAAAAGTTTTCTTTTAATGACGTGCTGAACTTGAACACTACTAGAAATCTTCTGCCATGAGTTAATTTATTCCTTAACGTGAAAAAAACAATAAATATATTATTTTGTATTCTGCAGATGGCAATGATATGTACTGTCTGTGGTGTTAATTTAAATGCGATACCTCAAACAACTTAGACGAAAATAAATATCAAGTTTAGGTCATAATTGCATGCAGATACATGTTTGGACATTTCTTCGAAACTCACGTTGAATAACAATAATCACATCTTAAGACGGCACTTACCTACGCTATACATAGATCATTCTTAAAAAAAAAGTATAACATATCTACCATAAATAGCTCCGGCTGCAGCGTGCTTCAAATCTGGCACAAACGATAATCGTCAAAAACCCGTCGTCCGTCCTCGCCCCTTCGGGGATTCATTTCTTTAAACCTAAGCATGCCAGAACATTGAAATCAATGACATTGTCTTTCGTAAGAAACGCAGCACCGCGTGTAAAAGTTCGAGAAAAAAAATTACGAATGTACCCCACTACTTGAAATCAAATGAAACCGTCCGCCGGTCTTTCGAAGTTCGACGAACGTCGAACTTTTACCCTATAAGGTCGAAGTTCGTCGAACTTCTGACTTTTCAGAATTCGAAAGTTCGAAACTTTT